AAATTGAAATTAGTAATAAATAAATTTAAGTAAATTAAATTAAATTAAATTTTTTAAAAAAAAAATATTTTATATTTTATACAAATAATAAAATGAATAAAAATACTGCAAAGGAAAATTTCATATAAATTCAGAAATTTTAATTTCAGAAAATGTAAGCCCCACCTTCCCAATGTGAGAGACGAGATTATCAAAGTGAAAACAAAAAAGCCTCATTGATAGTCTAGGTAGGTCATTAGCACACAATTTTTTCCTAAATAAATACACTTTCCATTGTCTAGTGACAATTTCTCTGGCTTTCTCAATAATGCCACAGTAGCTAGGGGTATTTTCTTTAGTCTCCCTTACAAATCAGGTTGTATCTCCAACTTCACATTTTTTAAAAAAATCTCTTATTTTGGCAAATATTGTATATTAAAATAATGAATTTTAAGATTTTCTTTGATTTTGATAAAATATATTAAAACAACTTATAAAAAAAAAGACTGGAGAAACAACAGCCTTTGATTAAAAAAATCAGTTTACTGTAGATTAAGATTTAGTTATTTATTAATTTATGTCAGGAATAAATTCTAAATTTAGTGCAATTAAAATGTATTGTAAGTTATGCTTTTATATTTTGTCCCTGGAACTTACTGATGGCAATAATGGCATGTGCATATGTTTTGTTTGTTTCGATGGAATTAGATATATGTTGTTTTCACAATGATAAAAAGAAAAAAGGAAAAAGAAATATTTTGTTTTGGGCCAAAATGTATTATTTAACATGTATTTTTAAAAATAATGTTACTTAACAAAAAATATTAAAATTAATCTTGGGGTATTGAATGCAAATATACATACTTCTCAGCAAGGTGCTAGGAAAGAAAGCATGGCATGTAGGCCCTGTTTCTCTGGGTAAAGCAGACGCGGAAGATAAAAGAGGCGGGGAAGACGAAAAACATGAATGCTTGGAGTGGCTTGACACAAAGAAACCCAAGTCAGTGGTTTACGTATGCTTCGGAAGCTTAACAAGCTTGCCGGAATCTCAGCTGAGAGAGATCGCCAGAGGTCTAGAAGCTTCGGGCCAACAATTCATGTGGGTGGTGAGCACTAATAAGAACAGCAAGAAAGAAGAATGGCTACCTGAAGGGTACGAGAAAAGAATGGAAGGCAGAGGAGTGATAATTCGAGGATGGGCACCACAAGTGAAGATTATGGAGCACGAAGCAGTAGGAGCGTTTGTGACGCACTGTGGATGGAACTCAACGTTGGAATCAGTGTGTGCAGGAGTGCCCATGATCACTTGGCCTAATTACGCAGATCAGTTTTACAACGAGAAGCTAGTGACGAGCGTACTGAAGATAGGGATTGGTGTGGGTGCTAAGAAGTGGTCCAGATTCGAGAGAGATAAGATCGAGTGGGATGCCATAGACAAGGCGGTGAGGAGGATAATGGAAGGAGAAGAAGCAGAGGAAATGAGAGAGAGGGCCAAGGAGCTTGCTCTCAAGGCAAGGCAGGCCATGCGTGACGGTGGTTCATCGCTCTCCAGTTTGGATTCTCTCATTCGCGACTTGTTCTATTTTACCTCAACCACCTGTACTTCAATACATGAATAAAGAAATGCGCCTCTTTCCATGTTCCATCAGTCATTTGGATTACGTAATTCCGCTTTGATTTAATATAATGGTTATCAAACATTTTGTCATATTACATTCAGAAAATGCCAAATTTTTCAAATTTTTTGAGAGGGCAACGAATAGATATGTGGAGTATCGTGCATAATCGTGAAAATTATTTTGATTTTTTTTTAAAAAAATATATGTTGATATATTTTTCAAGCATTAATGAAATTTAACAATTATAAGTAAGACACTATCTTCAAGTAAATCTTGCGCTATAATACTTAAATGATAACACAGGTGCGTGGTTTCTTGTTAATGATACAGTATTTTATGTTGACACAGACACTTCAAGTGTGTTGTCTGCTAATCATCAGGCCGCTTGAAACACCTTTTAGGTATTTTAAAAAAGCGATTGTGTTATTACTCTATTTTTTTATAAGAAAATACCAATTTTTCAACTATACTCTTATTAATTAGAGAAAGAGTAAAATTAAAACGTTATTATCTGTGTGAATGTTTTCTCAGGTTAAAGAGTAAAATTAGAAAAATAGCTCATACTTTTGTTTGACAGTACACTTAAAAATTAGAATCACTTTTATTTTTATAAATTGTCCTGTTACTAATTATTACAGAAAAACTGAAAAATACCTGCATCCCTTTAAATACGACTTTGATTTAGAGCCATGCAACATGCCAACTTGTGTGGGTGATTAAAGGACAGATATTTTTAAATTAACCATTAGATGCAGCTCTTTCAATATAAAATTTGAATTGCAGATTTTCTAAATCCAATCATGCCGTTGGGATCCTGACGCTTGATTTTGTGAATCCATGAAACTGTAGACATTCCCCTTATCAATTATATAAGCAAGATTTTCTTTAGTTAAATGTCCAGGTCACAGAGTCCTTTTCCTCCATCAACTTAAACTTTTATTATAAATTAAGCATCAAAATTGTCTGTGCCATGGTAATTAGAAAAAAAAAATAGAACAAACTTACTTATAAATTACAGATTTAGGAATATCTTGAGTCATAAACTCATTTTTTATGCAATATTTTTTGTTAATTTTTAAAAATGGTAAAATTGGCCTCTGTCATTAACAAAAATTTATCACTACTCATTTTAAAGGAAATTAATTTATATAACTACAGAAAAGATTAACCATTATTACTACTCATTTTCGTTCTTATTGAACAGATGGTAGTAATAGTGAAAAACCATCCACTTCACATGTCCTGCTTCCCTTTCTCGTCTCATGGCCAAACTATTGGCGTGTGGAGGGGCCAAAGTTAAACTACTAGCTAAACTATTGGTTTCGGTGTTCATTATAATAATGAGAACCATAATATGAATTATTACAGCCTTGAGACCTAAATCATTTAAATCAAATTTTAATAGTTTAAATTTAAAATTTTAAAATTGACAATGTTTAGATGAAAACTAAGAGATTATTTTGTTTTAGGTTCTATATACATTAAAATTTTAAATTATTAAAAATATAAAAATTAAATTTTATTAGATATGGATCATCAAATTTTAATCGAGATGATCCCAATCCTAGCCAGAAGTAGCAGTGTAGCAGCCCGCGAGTTGTCCCCAATATCTCCATAAAAACAAACCAAAGACGACGTCGTCGTGCATGTGACTGAAGACCATCAACTTCCCAGCGGCGGAATGCACAAGGCTTCTTCAACGGATTCGGAATGGGCTGGGTGTCCAGTTCACAGAGACATTCATTACAACGGGCCCAAGTTGGCCTTACTCTCTCAGTTGGACAAAGGCCCATTCCTCTTCCCGACATGTTCTTTTTAATTGTTTATCGGAAAAAATAATATATATATATATATATATATTAATCTAGGAGCGTGCTCCCTCTTGTTATATTTACCTTACATATCACTTCCGGTATATTTCATTTAAATTAAAAAATTAAATTTATTAATTATTTTTAAAAATTTAATAAGTTTTTAATAACATGTTTTATGAATATTTTACAAGCCTTGTCCTTATTAAACATGCATAGTTTAATAACAAATTTTATGCTACTAACATCCAATGAGATAAAAGAAAAGGTTGTGATAAAACTTCACTCACACAAGGGGGGGAAGTTTCTATATCTGATTTATAAATAAGACCCTAGCGTAAGTATGGATATAATGGATATTGATATTTACTTTTCCCACAATCTTTCCTGTCTGAAATTTTAAGGCACGGGATTTCATGGGTTTCATGCACCTATCTTTTTTTTTTTTCTTTAATAGAGTCTGAAAACTAACTAAAACACAGCTACAAGCAAAATAAAAGTTTACACTATTCTTCTTTCATCAAACCATATCTCTATTATAAGAGATGGTTTTTGATCAAGGAAGCAAAAGACTCTATGATAATCAAGGGGCCATTTAGCTAAGGAATAAGCTAAAATATTTGACTCTCGAAACATAAAATTATACACATGCCTTTTATTAGTTCGTCTATCTTGCATGAATTTCTTGCCAAGTTATTTCTTTTCCGAGGTTTGTTCTGGCCAAAAAGATTGAGAGGCCCCCTTACTTGGGAAAATTACATATCATGAATATGGAATTTTAAAATTTCCACCCCTTCCTTTCATATTTTGCACATCATTTTTTTTTTGAAATATTTAAAACATTAAATTCCTTTTTTTCCTCTAAACCTAGTATCTATTTTTTTTTTTCAACTCTTATAACTCAAAGTCCAGCAATATAATAAATATATATAATTTATTTTTTAATTATTAAATTATTATTAAAATTATTAATTTTTAAAAAATTGTTTCCTAACTGAAGATCCTAACTCAGCCATTGGTTGTTATGATGAACGAAGCAGTATGAGTTATCCTCTACTCCAATCTCTTTAACACAAACAAAAAGTTCATTGATCTTTCACCAACTAAATTAACTTACCTGCAATATTTCGGTTCTAGCCTTTGCTTGTTTTCCAAGTTATTGCTTGGTAAAAAATCTAGAACGTGACTCATTCCATCGCAAGTCAAACGCTACGAATAATTAAAGTAGTAGTAGATGCTTTGACCTTTTCCCCCTGTGATAATAATAATTAATTAATAATGATCATTTTCAGTTTTGCGTGTCTAATTTTTTTTTAAAAAAAGAATGGAATAATGAAATCCATTCAATACTCTCCTAGGAAATCAAACTAAAACGTCTATATCACATTAAAAAACTATGCATGTCATTGAACTCAAATTCGACGACATAGTATAATAATCTGGGCATATGGCACCACAGGTACTGTGCAATTGTCCATCACTTCCAACATTTTTGTTATCGCAACTTCCTTATGCGTACTGACCAAGATATCCACCATGTTATAAATGCTAAGAGCCAAATCGAACAGAAGTATCAAGAAATCAAATAAAGTACAAAATCGAAAGCATTTTTTTTTTTATCTTCCCGGAAACATCCTACATAGTTCCATTAACAGGATGTCCAGCCAAAGCCATGATCTGCCCCTGCACGTAGCTTTTTTTCCCTTCATGTCCCATAGCCATATGATGGCAACTATAGACGTAGGCAAGCTTTTTGCTTCACGAGGTCCCAAAGTAACATTTATCACCACCCCTTCCAATTCTCCTCTTTTTTCCAAATCAATCCACAAAAGCCAAGAAAAGGGTCACCAAATCACACTTCATATTATCAAATTCCCTTCATCGCTAATTGGATTACCAGAAGGGTGTGAGACTCTTAATTTTGTTAACCCCCCTCAACTAAAGGAAAGATTTCTTAAGGTGATTCCTTTGTTAGAGCAACCTTTGGATGAGTTCCTCCGAAAGCATCGTCCTGATCTTCTTGTGGCTGACACTATCTTTTCATGGGCTAACAATCTCGCTGCTAAACATGGGATTCCAAGGCTGGTGTTCCATGGAACATGTAATTTCGCTATATGTGCTTCCCTGTGCATCCATTCCTCTACGCCTCACAATAAAGTCTCGTCTGATTCTGAACCCTTTGTCATACCCAATCTTCCTGGGAATATCGAGTTTTCGAGGAACCAGCTGCCAAGTTTTATGAAGCTTGAAGATGATGAAACTGAGATGTCTAAAGTGTTCAGGGCTTCTGCAGATTCAGACTCCAAATGCTATGGGGTCATAGTGAACAGCTTTTACGAGCTTGAGCCAGCTTATTCGGATTTCTACAGGAACGTTCTTGGAAGAAAGATCTGGAACATAGGCCCAGTCTCGCTCTGCGGTGATGACTCTGAAGTAAAAGCAAACAGGGGAAATCGAGCTACAGCTTCAAACATTAACCACGAATGCCTGAAGTGGTTAGACCACAAGGAACCAAATTCAATAATTTACATATGTTTTGGAAGCACCACAATGTTCACTAACGAGCAGCTAAAGGAGATAGCTCTAGGTCTGGAGGCATCAGGAATGGAATTTATCTGGGTTATAAATAAAAGCAAGGAAGAAGACGACACGGAAAACGAAGGATGGGTCCCCAAAGGATTCGAAAATAGAACGAAAGAGAAGGGATTGATTTTGAGAAATTGGGCTCCCCAGTTGCTGATTCTTGGACACAGAGCAGTAGGAGCATTTGTGACACATTGTGGATGGAACTCAGTGATGGAAGCTGTGGCTGCTGGTGTGATTATGGTGACTTGGCCTGTGGGGGCTGAACAGTTTTTCAACGAGAAGCTGGTGACTCAGGTTCTGAAAGTTGGGGTCAGTGTTGGGGTTCAAAAGTGGGTTCGATGGGTGGGAGAGAGTGTGAAGCATGAAGCCATAGAGAGAGCAATGAGGAACGTTATGAGTGGGGAGGAAGCAGAAGAGATGAGAATTAGGGCAAGAGGTTTTGCTGAGAAGGCACGAGAAGCTGTTGCAGTGGGGGGATCGTCTTATAGTGATTTAAGCTCTTTGATTGGGGAGCTTCTGTCTCTCAATTCTTAGAGGGACTTCGATGCTGTGGATTTTTATGAAACCGAGAATAGACGAGCAAGAATATCCCTGGTGAATCTTCTTTTAGAAATGTTTAATATTGTGTTCTATGAATCAAATTGATCCATCTCATTCTAGCGGATTGCATGTAATATTATTTTTTTTCTAAAGTTGTCATGTCTTGTGTGTATTACTCACTTCATTTTAAATTATAAAATAACTTATGATAAATTTTTTATTTCAAAATATAAAATAATGTGAGAAAAATAACATTTTATTAATAATACTTTTTCAATATCATTCTTTAAATGGAGAGAGAATTCAAATAATATTGTAATATAATGATTAAGTATGTAAGAGAATTTTTAAAATTTATATTTTTATTTTAAAAAAGTAAATTCGTAAAGTGTCATTGTTATATTTTTTTAATATGTGTAATCTTGTTTCAATTACCTTATAATTTAGGACGTAGGAGTACCAAATAATTTCATAGTAAAAAACAAAAACTTTAGAAAAAAATTGGTTAAGGCGCAAACATGCCTTCAATGTTTCCACCCAAGCCACCCATATCCTTAAGTATTTTTTAGTATAATTTTGCCCTGACATTTTTTATTTAGATATAGTGTTGCTCTTTCATTACCCTTTGACTTCTTTGACCATTATCTTCCATCTGTAATGACAGCTCATCATCCATGAAGGTCATTCAATTCTTCTTGCTCATAGATCTCTCAACCCTCTTTCTCAAGCCTTATGCTCATGCACTCCAATTCCTACCATTACTTGTTTCACTACTATTCGATGCTGTATCAATAAGTTTGGCATACTTCAATGGCCCCTACATAAAACATCATCAAGTCACCCCTCAGAATACTTCATAGATCCCAAACATCCTTTACCTCTGCTTGCCTCTCCTAGCACTCGCTCTCCTTCCACCTTTGCCAATATTGTCATTCATAACATATGGGTTATCAGATGCAACACAACCATTGCTGCCAATTGGCTTTGGGTATGTCATTTTAAGGGTACAAATGGAAATTAAAGAACCCTAACAATGGCGGGTTGTTCACACAAGTAACAAATACGAGTTGGAAGAGCAAGGAATGTTGGATTGAACTTCAATCCACTTTGATTGTTTTTTTTTCCTTTTCCTGTCCAACTTGTTGAAATTTATCAATATCTTGGTATGTGATTTATGGGTGTGGTTCTCTAATAGGCTTTATAACTTTTCTAACTTTTTATTTGCATCTTGTTTGAGAGAAGCATCCTTTTTTTTGTTTGGTGAATGGAGTGTTTGTGGAAATGGCATCTAGGAGATTGGATTTGAGGGAACCATTCTAGATTTTGTTTTTGGAGAAGCATCCGGCTATTATTCTGGGTTTCATCCTTGCTTCTTGCTTCAACTGAAAAGGTAATTGATTTGTATTCCTAGCTTAATTTTTGTGTTCTTTGGGACGTAATTGATTTTTATGTTACGTGTTTCATTTTGGATATTGTCTTGGAGATTGGATTTGAAGGTGTTGTTATGGGTCTCTTTGTGTTTTTGATTTGTTAGGTTTTTTTTGGTATTCCTTCTCCTTGCTGCTTGCTCTCTCTTTTATTTATGGCTGAATTTTTGTTTGATTTGCTAAGATTTGTTTGATTTGCTTAGTTCTTGTTTGATTTGTTGGGTTCTATTTTGTGATGAGGGATGACAAAGAAGAGGGAGAGATGACATGGATTGTTTTCTTCTTTTTTAATTTTTAAAATATGCCATTGATTTGTAGCCATGCACATCACGAGCAAACTAACAGTCAAAGTCTGAATCTATTACCTTGGGGCAACATTATACCCAACTAAAAAATGTTGAGGCAAAATTGTGCCAAAAAATACTTAAAAAAATAAGGTGCTTGGATGGAGACATGGAGGGCTTTTTTGAGTTGTGAAATTTGTTGTTTGAATAATATTGGATAAAAAATATAATGAGTTAACAATTAAGCATGATGCAAAGATAATGATTTCATCTTCCATGCTCATCAATCACCTTGATGATGGTACTCATCAAAGTGATGAGATTTGGATGATCCAAATTTTAATATGAAACAATCATGATTTAATATATCTATTTTATATTTATTAAAATAAATATCTATAAAAAATTAATTAATCTATTTATTATCAATCTAGTCTAGATTTAATTTGTAAGGTCTAATTTAATGTTAATTTTTTTATAATTTTTATATACTCAATATCCGGATGTACTTTAAATAATCCATATTTATTATTAAAAATTTTTATAGTATTTTTATTTTGATAAATATAATATTAAAAATTAAAACAATCTCCTAACGGGCACTCTTTAAAAAATTTAAAAAATCATACGTTAAAATTTTTAAATTTAAATTATTCAGAATATAATCCGTACAGTCAGTGTATAAAAAAATAATACTAAATTTGGATCTTTCAAATTAAATTTAAGTCATATTGGTGATAAACAAATTCATTAAAATTTTGTATAATTTTTACAAATTTTTATTTTCATAAATATAAAATAAATCGTAGATTAAAATTTGGATGATGAAGATCTTATCACCCCAGTGAGCACTGAAGAGGAACCAGAGATAATGTGATTAGTTGATTGTAATTGATTGATAAGTTGAGTGTAAAAAATTAACCGACATGTGTGTGTTGTGCAAATGATGTATATGTCCATGGATTTAAAATCTTTAGAGTTGCCAAAAAGAAGTAAAGAAATTGTTCCACTTACGTGAACAATATGGTTGATAAATTGGCAAAACTCCTGGGAGTGCAATTTTTCTTGCGAAGGCAAAATATAATTCTGGGGATTGTCAGTTATTGGAGATTGCCAACGTACGGTGTTGACGAACAACATATTATAGAATATAAAATAAATTACGATTGCTATATGTATTACGATTTGCAAACATTTTATTTTTTAGTTTAAATAACTGATTATATATTTTGGAGGGAAAATTATACTCCCTTACAGATGCACGGGGTTGAAGATAGTGATGAACAAAATCAAATCTCAATCGGGTTTGGAAGAAAGAAAAAACGAAGATGATCAACGATGAAGATGGTCGTCCATCGGAAACATTTGAGAAGATAATGGAAAATCAAAGTTTTGGAAGATGAAGTTCACAATTGATGGTTTGCATAATCACAAAGCCAGTGGAGGACCTGCGATTGTATTAAATCACAGAATCAAATGTTTTGAACTACCAACGGTGGTTTAATTTGATTGTTGAGAGTTAAGTTAGGTGGAGGAAGCATCATTATGGGGCATATTAGTCGTACATGAGAATGAGATGGGTAGGTGATTAAGGACAAGCGAGCGTAATTATGAAACGTACTAAATATTATTTAACTCAAATGATGAATGCGTTAATATTGAAGAAAAAAAGCTATAAAGTATAACCAACCACAATTACAAGGCCCTTGACCGGGCAAAGCAAAATGAGTTGTATCCTTTTCTGGGAGGGGGCAAAAAAAAAAGAAGAACTTGATTACTGCAACATGAATTTAAAAAGGACATAGTGCTTGGGAAAAGCTAGCTTTAGATAACCGAAAAACAAGGCATTCATTCAATGTTTGATTAATCGAAAAATAATTTGCTTTATGTCAAAGTTGCCTCTCGATCGCGTAGCATGCCAATAATTAAATTCAACACACAAAGAAACCCAAGTTAGCTAGCTGTAATCAGGGAATTAGAAGCTTGTTCGCCACTTAAATCAATTCAATTGAAAAATGATGACGCATATCAATAAAGTTTAAAAATGATACTTTATAAATTTATTTTTTAAAATAAAATTATAAATTTTTAAAAATATCCTTACACACTTAATTATTAATACACTACAATATCATTTCAATTCTCTCTCTACTTAAAAAATAATATTAAAAAAATATCATTAATAAAACTTTATTTTTTAAAATTATTTTATATTTTGAGATAGAAAAATTATTTTAAATTTTTTTTTATAATTTGGGGTGAAGGGAGTATTGACTACCTATGCCAAAATCTTTCTTGTAAGAAAATGATGTGTGTGTGAGTATATAAAAAAATATTAATATCATTTATTTACAACACAAAACATTTAGTCAACTAATTGGTTTAGTTAATAAAGATACAACTCATACATCATAATCGTATGATTTGAATTTCGTTATAAGGATATAATTTTATTGATAGACAATTTATAGTAAGTAAATTTGTAAGCGTTTTTAAAATTTTAAAACTACTCCCGATTTTAATAAGCTCACAAGACGACTCAACTCCCTAGGGGGCCTTTCATAGGGAAAACATAAGGTTGAGTGGGTTGGGAGAAGAAAACGGAAATGCAGGCAACATACAAGGCGAGTTTGAGTGAAGATTGGGGAGTTTGGCGTCATAACCCATTATGAAGCATGATATCTTCTTTTCTTTTCTTTTTTCAAAAAAATAATACTAAAATTTTAAGGAAGCCACGTGTACGAATGAAAATATTTTATTATTTTATTTATAAATTATTTTTCATATATTTTATTGAAATAAAAAAAATATTGAAACTCATTAATTATATAAAAAATTAATAAATTTTTAACTTCACTCTATTAAATATGCATTATTTAAGGAGGAAAAATTATAATAAAAATTTAATAACAGATTCTTCCCTCTGTCTTATATTGTGATTGCCACGATGTAACAAGATGATGCGTTTAACGCCACTTGAAGCAAGTGCAGGCAGATACTGCAGGTCAAGCAGGAGAGGACAACATTGCCTTTTAGCTCATATGCTGACGTCATTCATCATGTCTCCTCCTTATGCCTTCAAACTCTCGCTAACTCACATTCCCCCCCCCCCCCTTTCCCATGGCTTGTTTTAATTTGTCCCATTGTTTTTCACACAAATTATTTGAAGAAAACTTTACTCTCTCAATCTCAAATTATAAAATATTTTTAAATAAAATTTTACATATTAAATAAATTACATTAAATATATTCCCTCATTTTAAATTACATGACACTTTTAGAAGAGAGTTGTCATCTCAAAATATAAAATACTTAAAAAAAATTAATGTTTCATTAAATAGACGCATTTTGATATTACCTTTTATCTTCCTTCATTTAATACTAATTAAGTATAAAATTAAGATTATTAAATGAAGGACATTTTTAGAATTTTTTATACTTGTTTTGAAAAAATAAGGTTGTTAAGTGTATTTAATGAGATTTATTGGTATATAAAATTTTATCTAAAAGTATTTTACAATTTGGGATGTAGGGAGTAGTTAACAATTTCATTGTTCAAAACAAAAATACAAGGAAGAATGACATTTAAGGCCATTTTAAAAAAATTTATCACAATTCATGTGTTTTGCATAAGATACTATCTTGTAAAAACGCACACATATATAAGTCAAGATTCAACTTTTAATAATAACATATGTGCGTTTTTGCAAGACAATATCTGTTGCAAAACTCATAAACTCTATTTGGAGAAAAAAACAAAGAGGGTGTTACAAGACATGTCAAAGATGCGGGATTTCAAAAGGATGAAAGAACCTGACTTCTAATCAAATGCGGGGAGCCTAGGCTCATTTACCATAGTTCACCCGAATATGAGAATATGAAGTGAAAAAAATTAATACAGATACAAGGAAGTGAAGTTACATTAATTAAAAAGCAGGTGGCGAGTTATGCCGGCCGTACAACATATAAGTAAAGACTAAAACCACATGATAAAAGGGAAAAAAAAGCAATAGACATAGAGTATAAAAATTTGACTCATAGTTTGTTGTTATGATGATAATCCTTTGATGAGAGAGGGCTTTTCTATTTATAGATAATCTTGGTTTGGTGCCTAAGCCTCATGATCGTTACTTTTCTTAAATTTAGAAAGCACTTCCTCCATCGTAGCCAGTTTTCCTACTTTCAAAATTCAAGCATCACAGGTGAAATGTGAAAATAATAGCCTAGACTCAGTCTTAACTTAATGGCTAAGGCTTCGTGAATATTCATTTTTAATTATTTTAAGGCCACTCAAGTTAAGTTGAGTTTAGGCTTCCAAAATCACAATTCAGGTGCAAACAATGCCCCTTGCATACAAATTGGTCGAAACCTTTATAGGCCAATTTTATATGAATATTTTCATTAGCCCACTTCCAAGTGTTGTATGAGTAGTATGTCTTGGAGGACCTGTAACATCCCAATTTAAATTTTAATAGTTAATTTAGGTTAATAGAAATTTTAAAAAATATTTAGAGGTAAGCAAATTAGTAGAAAATAATTATTAAATTTAACTTAGGATATAATTCTAAATTAAAATAAAAAATTATTATTAATTAAAAAATAAAAAATATTATTAAATTATTATTATTATAATAAAAAAGGGGGGAAAAGGTATTAAAAAAAAAGAAAGAAGAAGAAGAAAGTTGGCTTCCTCTTTCGGCGCATGATTACCATATAATAAAAAAAAAGAAAGAAGAGAGAGGAAAGAAGAAATAATAAAAAAAATGCGGGACCCACTGAATTTTTATAAAAACTCACCTGTTTTCTTCGTTTCTTCATTCTTCCCTGTGCGCGAGCTGAGGCAGAGAGAGAGCGTCTGTGAGCGTGAGTCGCCGGTGCGAAAGATCTGAATTTTTAAGGTAAGAGTTTTTAATAGGATATTTATGGTGTGATTTCAAGTTTTTTAAGACTAAGTAAGTGCTCTAAAATTTTTCTTAGTCATCCTTCCTCTTTGGTTTCTGAGTTTGTAGTGGTAGAAAATTTAGGATTTGGAAGAGGGATGAATTTATGTTGAATAAATATGATTTTTGAGGTTGTTAGTAGTATAATAAATGTTTTAGAGTATAAATTTGTTGATGATATTTAAATTTATGGCTTATGAATCAAATTTTAAACTAGATCTAAAAATATATGTTGATTTATTGAGGTTTAGATGATTATTTGGGATGAGAAATGAATTATTATGGCTATAGGATTATGATTCTAAGCTAGAGACTCAATTTTTAATTTTTGAGTATTTTAGGTGTGAATTTATAAAATAAAAAGAAAATTTTAATAATATAAATTAGTTTAGAAGTTGATTTTTAGATTATTAATGTTTATTGATGACTAAAAGAGGAGTTAAAAATTTTACTTAATAGTATTGACTCTAGATTTGTATTAAGATTGAGATTAGAAATTATGTTATATTTTTAATTCTATTATTAAAATTATTTTATTAGTTTCAAAAATTAAAACTAATATTTATAAATAATATGTTATTTTTAGATTGTATTATTGGTGAAGATTGTGGTGGGAGAGAAATTTTAAGGAATAATTTATTGAAAAAGCCATAAGGTAACCATGCTTTTAATTTGTGATTAGTGTTACTTCATCTTAATTGGGTGATTATTGAGAAAATTATGAATTTTGTAATATTGTATAATTGTGCAATATTATTATGGATTTTGTTTGATTATTGTGGGAGGTGTTGGGAGATTTGCTATTGTTGTTGTATTTATGTGCTACGTGGTACGCCCCTATTGGAGCTCAATAGGTGGCTTGTAAGGGCTCGGGCTGATCTACCTTTAGCCGGGTAATTTAGCACCGAGTGAGGGTTACGGCTCGAGGTTAATGGAGGGATATAAGGATGGTTGTTTATGTGTATTGTAATATTTCTTATATTTGTTGAAATTATATTATTTTTAATTCTCACTTAATAAGCACACACTTAACTGTTTGTATATACTATCATAAATTGGCAATGGTTACTGAGACTTTTGAGTCTCATTATGTGGTTAACAATTTTCAGGAGAAGAGCTACGAGTGACACGTGAAGGAGTCCCAGAGGCTTAGTGGCATAGATCCACCGTCTCTTTTGGGTATTTGATTTATGATTTATAATGTGTTATATTGCCAATATTAGGGCTTTTTGTTTATTGACAATTATATGAATATATAAATGTAATCATGCCTTTCAAACTATTTTTATTTTTGATACACTTTGGATGACTGTAATTTTAATATTTGGTTTACTTTAGATTAGTTAAAATGGCATGATTATGAGACCAAATAACTGGCTTATTTTAAAAATTGACTAAATTAGTTATTTTACTTGTTGGGAGTATAAGGATGGATAAATGTGATTTAGTTTACTTGTTGGGAGTATAAGGATGGACAAATGTGATTTAGCCTAATGGTATGTGGGAGGTAAAAATTTATCTAAAATTTTGTATTGTGCAAGTTTAAGCTAATTATAAAATATTTTTTATATTGAATTTATTGATATAAAATGTGTTGGGTGGCTGTAACCTAACTATGGTTGAGTTGAATTATTTATAAAAAATTTTTTTTGGTGTGTTACAGGACCAACTCGTTTCCGTTCTAATTGATTGTTGATCTGTTACTTTCCTTGGAGGACACTCTTTTGGTTGAGGATTAGGGGTCACATGGTCTAGCTTATGATCAAGTTTTTAAAGTTTGGAACCTCAAATGTT